GTATATATATATATATATATATACGTGTGGAAAATTATGTATTATGGTCTAAAAATGTAATTTTTATTTTATTTTTGTAAACCACTGATCCGACCTGTGTCAACTTGGATCGGGTTAATCAGTAAGGAAACCCGAAAAAGATTGAAGTATAATCAAATTACCGCACGTCTAATACACACTCGATTTTTTTTTTACGTAAACCATTTTTTTAGATTTCTAGATCTAAACATGGGGCAAGTAATAAATAACATTTTGGATTAGAAAGCTGAAAATAATTGCAAACTTTCAAACTAACCACACACAAACTGTTCACATAACCAGGTTTCAAGAAGATGCACCTTTAGGATCAAACTTAGCGTAAAATGCTTAGTGTTCTGGGCTGCGTATCGAAAGGTCCATGGTCGCACTTTTAGCTGTGGGTTTGCTATAAGTATGGTAGTCAAACCCTTTATTTGGTTTAAAGTCCTTCAGAGGACGGTGCTTCTGATTGGCTGCCTTCCCTCTGGTTAATACCTCAATATTAGGGACGGGTTATACCGGAGCTATTGGGGTCTCTGATGTAGCTGTCATACCCATATGCACGAGAGGTGATGTTGAGATTGAAAATATCAAATACAGCATGAAAACGAAATATTACGAGTTATATTTACCTTTGATACGAAAATCTTGTTTTATTCCCCTGTTTGTGGGGCCGGGCTTGGCTTAATCATTAACGTATCAGATTGTGGATTCAGGGGCTCTTGATTACCGTCCCCTTGTCGTAAGACAAAAAAAAACAACAAAAAAACTATCTTGACGAACACATTGTAATACTGCAGTAATAGTTTTATTCCTCCGAGATAACTTTTTTTTTTCTTTTGTTCGAAACAGTTTTACTGTGTTGAGAGCGGATTAGCTGTGACATTTTGTGTTGTCAGGTTTTTGATTTGTCAAAATATACTGTGTTAACTTCGGAATTTGCGAGGTAATTACGTTATGATCTTAATTAATTTGTCCAACATTTTTGTTGTCAAAACAACAACAGCAACGATAATCATAAAACTCAATTTCTACTTTATGGTGTATTTTCTCTGCCTTACTCTGTACTGTGGTTCAGATAAACCCCATTTAAGGTCTTTCGCCAGATATTCCACAGATCGGGTGAAGAGGGGGGCAAACATTCTTGCTCCTAGCCACCCTGAATTGCCGCTTTATCCTATCCTACCTTATTCACATATTGATGTCCGTTTCTTTAAAAGTTCTTCTTCAAAATTTATTACTTTTCTCATTTAAAAACTTCCTTTTCCTCTGTCTCGCACATCATCAACTGTAACAGACATGTTGGTTACAAAATAATTCATAGGACTGATTAACCCCTTATATAAGTTACAGGATCAGTTAAGAAATGCTCGTATCTTGTAACCTAGCTTGCAACAATTATTGATAATTTTAAACTTGCTACGTTCAGCGAGCAAAAAAAATAATATTACAAGTTCGCAATTTTTCCAAACCCAGTCATTTTCCCGAAAAGGGGCCGAAGGCCACCTGGAGAGGTCACCTATTTTAACCATTCGCACCACTATACAGTAGTGTGTTGTCTGTCAGTCAGTCAGTAAACACTGAAATGACGTCACATAAGGGACGCCTAACGTTGCAATTTGTACTGTCGTGACGTCAGTAAAACGTGCGCATGTCACGAATCACGAGAAGAGTTATTCACTGTTTAGGCTACAGCACAGCATGACATATAAACTTCAAAAGCAAGAAATATAAATATTTATTATTTTTAATTTTGATTTTATCTATTCTTGAATAGAACACTTTCGGGGACCCTGCAGATGTACATCTAGTTTTTGAGATTTCATTTTTTTATGAAAAGGTTAAATCATCATTTTATGAATTCTGTACATCGGCTGTTTGATAGTCGGTTCAGTGGCTTACAATTAGTATGTTGTAATGTGCAGTTTTTTTAGTGACATTGCTATAATACAGGATATCCATAAATTGTTGAACTGCTTTATCAATTGAATAGAAACCACACCAAATAAACAGTTACGGTTTGTAGCATATAGGAGTCTAATTTTTGGAAGATTTTTTTCCTCAGTTAGAAGTTTAGATGGAGGTATATGAAGGGTATTGTCTGTAAGACGAAACTATCCGATATGGCAATGTTGCATGCTCCGAAGATGTTGGTACATATATGGGCTGAGATGATTATCGCGTGGACATCCTTCGAGCCAGGAACAGTGCCTATGTCGAGGTGCACTAATGGCGCCACTAACCATGGACAAACCTGAGATGTTAACCTCAATTAATCCGCAACAACCACAGTTCTTATCTAATGTAGTTCTCGTTACCTTCAATTACTAAATTGTTTGAACGCTTTATGGATATCCTGTATACTTTTACTTTTGTTCAAAGGAAAGCCAGTTGTACTATTTAAAGTTAAAGAATTGTGGTGGCATATACTGTTTACTAATTTACAGTTTTCCAGCTTTCACTGTCTTGCAGTCTTCTTCTCTCGCCTGTGTATACCTAACTAGCCGTATTTCTGTGTCTGTTTGTCTGTCTTGTCTTCGTGCCTCACGTGACATACTTTCACACTTGATGGTGGGAATGGTTAGTGCAACGACTGCACTCTGCAGATATGTAATGTTTCCTGGTTATTGGTTCCTTGCATGTGCCAGCTATAAAGTTGTATTCCTGCACGCATATTCAGTTGTACACTAGATGGCGCTGACCGTCTTGTAATTGTAATCTGTGCATGTGAGTGGTATTAACTGGAGTTCATTGTCTGCTAGTCCTTAAAAACTGTTTTTGCATACTTTCAGCAAGGCTAGTAAAGTTTAATGATCTTTCTTTAGTCTATATTAATTGTAGCTGATAAGAATATTGAGTGGTTTGTAGAAAACGTTGGGTTACAAGCAAATCGTTTTAGTTACCTCGATACAATTACTTAGACAAACTAAAAACAAATGGTTCTTTATGTGTGATATTTTTGGTAACGTTATAGACAAGGGTAGAAACCGTAATAGACAGAGGAAGTCACTATGGACTTAAACTGAATTATCTGACTGACTGAAGCAGAAATGAGACTGTACCAAGTGCGAAAACAAAGTAAAAAATTAATCATTAATAAATCAAAAATGAAGCAAACAAGTTCACTGGACAGCACATCTAGCTTACACCAAGAGAGGTTTGACTTCCTTGTCTTATTCTAAAGAAGATGATCAAGATGGAGAGAGTATGTCATTATAGACACACAAAATTAAACGTTATCCCTCTCAGTATGCAGGCGCTACCCACGTTACTGGTTATCCCAAGTGAAATAAGCAACTTTTCCATGCTCACATAGAAAGAAAAAATCATGGTACATTTATAATACCTTATACATATGTATGAGTCCATTAAACGACTGAAATGTGACACTTCCAACTCTAGAGATAAAAAATCTTTCAACTCAATTTCAGCCTTAAATTTGCTTATAATTTATCATTGAACTTAAACGTAATAATAATGAGAGGCAATCTCGTTATTTGGCTTAAACTATTGGAAAAAGCCATTGCGGCGGTGGGTGCTGCTAGCAGACTACCTTCCTTTGGGCCAGTAATTTAAAATGATGAACTGCTATACCCGAATCCTAATGGTCTTTGACCTGACCGCTTAGTGAGTATGCATTCAAGATGCTATTATAGTTGAAAGTTTCTGTTTCAGCATCGAAATACATAGATTTTTATAAACTGTGTTCATCATGTCAGATTATCTGTGATAATATGCATATCAAAGTATCTAGCAATTACTTAACCTGTACAAAAGGATTGTGAGTTTATTGTATTGGGATTTTGTATTAATTCTAATACGCCGAAACTGATAGGGTTATGCAAAATTCATTTTTATGTAACAAACTCAAAAAAACGTCTTCATAATGCATTGTAATTGACCAGAAGGTAGTGGCATTTCAGCAGACAAAAAGTAAATATTATAACTACTAAAGTAAAGTTTTTTTTCTTTACTTTACAATTTGTGGACTTTCCACAGCTATAATAACTTTCCCTGAACCATACGGAAAGTTATACATATATGAAAAAATATGAAGGAACCATTATCACTTGGAAGTATCAAACGAACGCGTGAGTTGAAAAGTACTTTAGGGTTCGTCATATCACAGGTCACTACTAACCCGCGTGTTACAAAGAAAAAAATCTCACACGCACAAGATCGAAAGAGTGTTATTGTAGACACATGAACATACGTTATGCCTCTCAGTGTGCAGGCGCTACCCACGTTACTGGTTATCCCAAGTGAAAGATCGTCGATGTGGTGTGTGTGTGTATGAGATATATATATTACATATGGTATATACACAATACATTTATGAACTTAAATGTTAGTTTTTTTATAATGATGGATTTTTATAGTGAAACTTAGCGGAAGAGATATTTACTAAACGCTGTCTTAATTTGTCCCACTGCTTTCTTAATTTGAACTATATAAACAAGAAGATAAAACTCATAAGTTACATAATCAATGAGCAAGGTAACTGCTGCGCATGTCTGTGAATACAGTCACATTGAAATACCATGAAAAAATATATTTGTGGTATAATGCATTTCACTGCTTGTGAGAGATAAGAACATCTCTTGCTTCAATGTGTAGTGAGAACATCGTTTAATTAGGACAGTCAAGCTACATCCAGGACAGACGTGTAATAAAGAGATGGGTAGCTGATGTAACGTGAGGTCTTGTCCAAAGTGTTTTGTTTAGCCAACTGTTAAAGCAGATGTTATATAGAACAAAATCGTGGTTATCACACGTGAACATATCTCTTGGTATGTAATACTTCACCTGACTTAACTATTAGGCTTATATTTTTGACAGTTTTTGACTTGTAAATATTTCCGATACTTAAGCTCGATTTGTTAAATCAGATTTGTAGACGACTGACAAAAACTAGATGTTTACAAAGCAGTCTTAGTGTTACTCCTTTAACAGCATTAAGCAGTGTCTTGGATGTCGTGGTCTCTGCATGACCAGTGGTCATCTATGTGTCGAGCTGAATAGGTGGTTGGTTGTCTTCCAGGTCGTCGCTGTGCTCTCTATTCTATTTATAGTTCTATCGACAATCGCTCTGACCCTCAACACGCTGCCCCAGATGCAGGTGGAGGATAAGGATGGCCAGCAGGGTGGAGATAATCCTAAGCTGGCCATGGTGGAAGCTGTATGCATAACGTGGTTCACGCTGGAGTACCTCTTGCGGTTTATTTCGGCGCCAAATAAATGGAAGTTCTTTAAAGGTGGATTGAACATTATAGATTTGCTAGCTATTATGCCGTACTTTGTGTCTCTGTTTCTCATTGAATCCAATAAGCACACAGACCAATTTCAGGACGTCAGACGTATTGTGCAAATCTTCCGAATCATGAGGATTCTTCGAATCTTAAAATTAGCCCGTCACAGCACGGGGTTACAGAGTCTTGGGTTCACACTGAAAAACAGTTACAAGGAACTCGGGTTGCTCATGCTATTTCTGGCCATAGGGATCATGATCTTTTCAAGTTTGGCATATTTTGCTGAAAAGGATGAGCCAGACACCAAATACACCAGTATCCCAGAGACGTTTTGGTGGGCGAGTATCACCATGACAACTGTTGGCTACGGTGATATCTACCCGACCACACCTTTTGGGAAGATGATAGGGAGTGTCTGCTGTATCTGCGGGGTGTTAGTCATTGCTCTGCCCATTCCCATTATCGTTAACAACTTCGCCGAGTTCTACAAGAACCAGATGCGAAGAGAAAAAGCACTGAAGAGGAAAGAAGCACTGGAGAGAGCCAAGAGGGATGGTAGTATAGTTTCATTCCACCACGTGAACCTGAGGGATGCCTTTGCCAAATCCATGGACCTCATCGATGTGCTGGTGGAAACTGGTCACAATATTAGTCAAGTAAGTTCTCATCCCCAACTTTACATTTGATACGGTGGAAATATTTCCAAATGAAAGGATCACGGGAACGCTACACTTTATGAGGTAGACCTAACTTGAATTAAACTTACTCCATGATATTTTCTTGTATGACTTATTCTTCCAATGATCAGCTCATCTGGAGGCTTTTCCACCTCTGTTTAATATGCTCGTGTATCTCAATTCCTGATTAAACCAACATATAGAACACAGCTTCTATGAACTTTAAAATACCTGAGTTTTGATAGTTTAATTCCACTTTCAATATATATATTATCAGTTGAAGGTTCGGCCTTTTATGCGTTATATTATAATGGTATGTTTAACTTTATATAACTTATAGCTAAGTTATTTTACGTTACCTAGTTTCTGGACAGGTTTATTTACTGATATCCTGCACGTCAAAACTCTAACAGAAAGAAAAAGATGTTAAAACTTGTATACAAGTCATTTTGATACCATAAAAGCAGACACAGTAACTGCATTTCTGGATATGATATTTATTTGACTTAAACATTTAAAAAACACACAAAACGTTTAAACATCAAACAAATTTGGGATTTTTTTTTCTCCTTTAAATACCAAACAAATTAAAGATTCTTTTTGCACTTAAACACCAAACAAATTAGGGACTTGTTTTTTGTATTTAAACATATGAAATTAGGTTATTTTTTACACTTAAACACCAAACAAATTGATTTTTTTGCATTTAAACACCAAACAAATTGATTTTTTTGCATTTAAACATCAAACAAATTAGGGATTTTTTGCATTTAAACGTAAAATAAATTCGTTTTTTTTTTGCACTTAAACACTAAACAAATTAAGGATTTTTTGTTTTTTGCACTCAAACACCAAAAGAATTAGGGATTCTTTTATGTTGAAACACAAAATAAACTATACACCTAAACACCGAACAAATTAGAGATTTTGTTGTCAGCATTGTTATACACGTGGTGTAGTGTTACACCAATGTCACAAGCCGTGCTGGTTGTTTTCTTGCTTTTAAATTGTCACTATTTATTTGTAATTTTTATAGAATATTTCTTGTCCCGAGTGCTTGTGTATGCATGGCTTAGATGCTGTGCCCCCGCCTGTATGTGCTCCACCATTTCCGTATTCATGGCGTGTTAGATCCCACTTTTGTCCCCATTTTCTTGTAATAATAATTCATGATTGTGTGGCAGCTAAGCATCGGTAGAATTATCGATGTACTGCTGTCTATGATGATGATGATGTAAGCGGAGTTCTTGATGAACCAATAAAATAATTTTAAATCTACAGAGGATTACTCTCACATTATGAGAACGTTACTGAGTCTGGTGGCCGTGATTAAACTTCCAATAACCTTTAATTTACTTGGTCATCAGTTTCCAAGACCATGTTTAAGAAGATCAAAGGCACAAAAGTCTAATGGGGTTGCATCGGGGGGACTTGAAAGACATGCTATCGAATAAGATTACTATGATCCCAGTTTCTTTTGCATTTTCTTTCTTGTGAAACCAGCCTTTTTTTTTTTTAATGTGACTAGAAGGAAGCTTGTGGATCTCTGGCAGTTTCAAATATTTTTGTTATCTTGTTAATGGTACCAGGAAATATGTATAGTTTCCTCACAATTACTTTTTTAGGGTGGGGGGGGGTCTTTTCCATAATTACAGTCTTCCCTATTTGGATGAAAGTTTAGCTTCGGGGAGTAGTTTTGGAACTTTTTTTTTTTTGTCCGAAACGTCTCTCCTGGGCGAAATCTTTTAGCTTCCATGTAGATAATTAAAAGATCCCTCATTCGAAATGTTTTGAATTCAACATCGTTTAACATTCTTGCTGTAAGAAAATCCTTTCGCGGTACGGACCGTAGCACGAACCTTTAGGTATAAGGTTATCGTGGCAGCATTGCACTGTAGAATGATTGAAAATTTGTTATATAGGTGCTAACTATATCACCTGTTCCCCACCGTTCGTATCCATAGCCAAGCTCTACTGTATTAGCATATACAGATCGATTCTTACAAAGTGCAACTGGCCTTTCATCGTTTTCTTTATATAGGCAAATCTGTTGGTTTTTGTTTTTTAGGATCACTTCATCTTACTATAAAGACGCCCCTAGTGACACAGTGGTACGTCTGCAGACTTACAAAGTTAGAAACCGGGTTTCGATACCCGTGGTGGGCAGTGCACAGATAGCCCATTGTGTAGCTTTGTGCTTAATTACAAACAAACAAATACTATAAAGATGATCCATTATGTGTTATCATCCATCACCCAGAGTTAGCTGGCCCAATTACTGTAATCTTTGGTATAGAAACATCAGCCCTTTTCTTTTCGAAAGGGAAGAAAAAAATGTTTTTTAAACTATCCTAATGGTCCCCCGGTGGACATCGGTAAGTATAAGGACTTGGTGCTAAAATCCGCGGTTCTATTCCCCGCAGTGGACACAACAGACAGACCAATGTGGTTTTGCTCTAAAACAAACAAAGGAAAAAAACACAACTTTCTGCGTGCTTTTCCAGAACTGTATACTTATTCCTAGCAGTATAAGGTGTTTTGTTTATATTTTAGTAATGTGTACGGTACTGTTTACCAGTGTTTAACGTCAAACAGCAACATGAAAGAAGAATTGTAGTTAAGGTTTTTAAGCATGTCAAATCCGAAGCATATTAAATTCGTTTTCAATTTGAGTCATTTCTAATTCACCATCTCAGTTTTGTCCTAACACCACAAAATAATAGTCGGTAAAAAATCTTCTTGGTCCAAACCGATAAGTTTACAGAATTACAACTTTAAAATCCGGGGCTCGATTCCTCGTGGTGGACAGAGCATGTTTGTGCTTTAAAAAATCGACAGCAACATCTGAATTACAATGAGAAAATTCATTGATTCATCACTTGAATAATCAAACTGTTTATGGTGTTATCGGCCGTAATCCCAATAAAATCGATGAGAACGTCCAGAACATGGCGTCTTCAATTGAGTTTGAAGGTATATTGGAATAAAACTTTTTATCGTAATATTTCAAACACGAGTGATTAAATAACTTAATAGAGGGGAAAGAAAAAAATCAAGGGACAAGAAAACAAATTTCAATTGTAATGATCCTCCCCCTGCAGACGTAGTAATTTCTGTAAGGGTGATCGGTCACTGGGTGCATACAATTTCTTTTCGGAATATCGAATCTCACGGGAGATTTTATTGCAATATTCCAAATTTTAACAATAAACAAGGCATGATGTCATTATCAAGTGTTTTATAGCTAGAGGGAGCTATGAATCATTATGAAGAATGTTCTTGTTTCAGAAACTCTATATGAATATCAAGTTTTAGATAACGTATGATGCAAAAGACCAGTACAACTTCGAACCGCTTTTTTGAGCTTTAGTAAGTTACACCCCACTTGTATAAACTGTAAATACAACAACTGTTGATCCATGTATAGATAAGTCCAAAAGGTTAAAGAAACTGAACTAACTTTGAAAAGTACTCCATAGATCTATAATACTGATGGGGGGGGGGGATACAATATTTGTCATTCATTGTAACTGACGTAGGAGAGTCGTCATAAACTGTGTCTGTGAATACAGCATAGAACTTTAAATAGAACCTACACTAATAGAATATTTCGTTTTGCGGAATCTCGCAATAGGCAAGCGTGCTAGAAGAGTCTTCAAAATTGTGTAAAGGCTTGAACTTGATAGTTAGCAGTGTTGTAAAACTAACACTTACAGTATGATTGTGTTTAAATATTGATCTAATTTAGTTTTTTTTTAAAGATATTAACATTTTAAACTACGCCCTCTAGCCGCAAACGATGACACTAACTCCATATACATATATAAAATGTATTAAAAATATATTTTTTAATCCTTTAAAAAGAAAAAGGAGGAAATTTGGTTCCAGATTTGTTTTCGTTTCTGTAGATATTTATTTTGTCGACCTCTCGTGACATAATTTAAAATCTGTGGTACATTTCACACTACTAACAACTTTTTAAGACGGAATACTTTCGAAACGTCGTTCTCCACACTTGTGTTTTTTACAACAGGCAGTCCATTCCAGTTTACTCATCATGAATAATCTGTCTAAACAACACATGAAAGAAAAACGCATAGTATTGTTTTAATATTACGGTTTGATATACAATAAAGTGTTTATACAGGCAAAAAGAGCACGTGAAAATTTCATATTTATTGTATGTTTTATAAAGGTGACGTAGACAATGTTTCATATGTCAGTGAAAACCGTGAGCATGTTTACATGTTTTAGTCACATTTATATATTTGTAGCTAAATATTATGAACTGTTCAGATACAGTGGTCAACCAAAATTTTCATTGAAATCGAATGTATTAATTAATAGCATTAAAATTTTCTGATAATATTACATTGAAAAGAGTTTTGTAGTGGCTTCAAAGTTATGTAATATAAAGTCCTGGTGACTTAATGTGTCAAATAACACTAGATTAAAGCTTGTTGGTAATATTACAGTAAAACGTTTTATGGTGGCTTCAAAGTTATGTAATATAAAGTCCTGGTGACTTAATGTGTCAAATAACACTAGATTAAAGCTTGTTGGTAATATTACAGTAAAACGTTTTATGGTGGCTACTAAGTCGTATAAAATCCTGGTGACTTCATGTGTCAAATAACACCAGATTAAAGCTTGTTGATAATATTACAGTAAAACGTTTTGTGGTGGTGGCTACTAAGTCATATAAAGTCCTTGTGACTTCATGTGTCAAATAACACTAAATTAAGGTTTTCTGGTAATACTACAGTAAATATATTGCAGCTTGGTCCAATTGAAATGTAATTCACTATTACTAAAAACACCAGATCAAAATGTTTTTTTTTCCTTCAAACGCAGTGCGAATCTACAGTTACTGTTATCTTTCCGTTAAAATCCAATACCTGATGAATATTTCAGAGTCAAAACTGAAACATTCTCTTATCAGGATTAATGAATTGTCGGGTGCATTGTATCATAAAATAATACTTCTGTTATGATGTATGGTCGATCACCATCACACATGACAAATGTTTGCCTAGTCGGTTGTATCAGAATTAACAAACTTTGCAAACATCGACTTGATAGTTTATATTACTTTTTCTGCTAAACAAGCATATTGTGATTGATAAGGAAAAGTTCGTACCTTCACCATACTCAACACGTTAAACAACTCGGAGAATAGCTGGTTATAGAATTTGGCTCCCTGACCTGTGTGAACTTCTTAAGGTGCACTGAATCAAGCTATCCGGTGTTCCACCAGTGCTTCAATGACAGACTGTGCTGAAGTATCAGTAAATGGATAAGCCTCGGCCCAATTAGTGAAGTAATTAATTACACATACTGTTTACCACATAGTGTCTGTGATGACCAGCAATATTCAGGACTATTCTCTGTAATGGAACACCAACAGTTTTCTGCTGTAGTTAACCCTATTTAGGCTCCATATGTACCACAATATGACTATGTGCATATGAATGCATACTTCTTGGTTTCAACTTCAGACCTGCTTTTCTTATGCACTGATGTACCATATCCAGGTGTTCAACATTAGACTTGAATGTGCAAACAAACGCAAAGACAATGTTGACGTAGACCAGGCATATTTCCGTTTGCAGCCCCTTTAGTGTAAGCATCATTAACCTCTTGAAAGTGATGGGCACATTATACAGGCCTAATTTCTTGCTGTAAAACTCATACAAGTAATTTTGATTGCTGAAAGTAATCTTAGATCAAGCCTCCCTGTTACCTTTCCACGATCCATCCAGAATATGTGGGTAGTGGCTTCCCAGTGCCCATTTTCCAGCTAAATTAGTTATTCGACGGTTTATTGGGAAGTATGATTGGAAGACATATTGGTTAACCCATACCCTATAGGTTCATTTATAGATGGAAATCCTTCTTGGCTATGTTGCGTACTTTATCCTGGAACACATGAACACTCTTGTACTCGTGAATTCTCACCTTTTAAATACAGTGTACTTTGCTTACCATTGGCTGTGTTGCGACTTTTTGCAGATCTTTTTCTGGATGGTCCTGGTGTTCCAAGTAGATCCATATTATTTTTTTCTTTGTTATTAAGTACAAAAAATATTATCGATCTGAATACATCTTTATGATCTTCTTTTGCGAATATTTTTGCATTGGAAAGAGCTGTTGCATACCCTTATCAAAAGTAAACAATATTCCTTGTCCATATACTACCTACGAAAGCCAAACATTAATAAAATATAGTTCAAATACATGCTATTCCACTTCGACTTTAATTGGGTCGTTGTTGTCACGTGACTCCACTTGCCTGTTTATTTTACAGCGAAAACACATTGGTCTAGCTGCTGTGTCCATTGCGGGGAATCGAACTCCGGATTTTATTGTTACTGCTGTCCCAGCGGGGGACTGATGATTTGCACAATTCAAATACTTTTAATGTATAATGTACTATGTATATGTATCTAATCAATATTTGTAAATCATGATTTGAGGTTATTTAACAATGTATAAAGTACGTAATAAATAAAACATAAATGTGTTTAATTCATCCACGAGTTGTGTTAATCACGAAAAGCAAGGCTTAAATGTTGATATCATTAAAATAAGTAACGCTGTATCTTTCAAATTGACAGTAACCTTTTGAAAACATGATTGTTTCAAGCACAAAGCCGCATAATGACCACTGCAGGGACCGATCCCTGAATTTTAGCGTTACAAGTTTTCAGGCCTACTGCCAAAAGTGTCATTCCACAAAAGCCTTATTCTAGCTGGGGACCCTATGCTGTGGCGTAATTTGGGAAGATTGCCTCTGTCGTGATCCCCCCCCCTTCCCCAACAAATGACGCATCTGCTTGCCGCTGAGCAACCAGTAAAAGAGGGGGGGGGGAATATTATAAATGGTAAACTTTAAACTGCGAGTATTGATATAAAATATTTTACCGGTTTTTGTTCTTTTATGTATATTTAAAGCCATCTTTTTTTTCAACTGTGAAAACCACCATTTTCAGGTATAATCCAGGTATTTTGTGGTGTCTTCTAGTTTTCCTCATTTTGATGATATATACAAATCAACATCAGGTCTTATTATTCCTAGTTGGTAGATAATAAATAACCATAAACAACAAACCCTCCACGCGATCTTATTTCAATGAGATGTGTATATGAAGCGGTTCAACCTTAAAGGTATACTTGTAACAAAGTTAGGCTTAAGCTAAAGGTAAAATTACCTCAATTGTCGTCTTACTATCGTTGAGCTTGAGTAACAAAGTCATGTCTTCTGAAACTTCAAGACGAATACTATAAAAAATCTAAACTTTTGATTATATATTGTAATAAAAGCACACAAACAACAATTTTCTGAGATAACATCAACATATTTGCTGAAGGTTATTAAAGAATTGAACGGGCAGCTATGACGTGTTTTATATATATTTTTAAAGCGATTTTATAGGATTTGTTAGTTATCAGTTCTGGTCGCCAGGTGGATGCCACGAGTCTGGGAGAAGAATCGGCACGGTTTCATACAGGAACCGGTTGTTATAAAAACTTCGATCGCACCATGCATGGGGGGCTACTAAGCCGTCGAAAGGACTCTCAAGCTCAGTCACTTCCCCTGGAGACCATAAATCCCACCGCTAACAACCTGGTCGACTTCTCGGTCTTTAAAAATAAAAATGGTCCAACAGAGGGTTATAACGGGGCTCCTGAGGACACAAGACCGAATCCTCTTGACGCAATCACCAATGACTATCAGCAGGAGTATTCCTCGCCAGTAAGTCCAAACTTTGTGTGTTCTTTTATTCAATAAATCTTTATATGGTACAGCTTAAATTAGTTTCTCTTACGAAGTGTTTGGTTAGAATGTATAAAAAATATGTAATAGTAAACTGACAAATAATGATTTACAAACACAATGAAGGGCTTATATTTTTGGGGAAACATTTTTCTTTGGGGGGGGGGCAAGCAGCATAATTCAACCGCTTCGTTATTCTCGTAAATCGTTGTTTGTCAATTTACCAGAATATTAGCATTATATTCCTTACGTAAGTAAATATACAGTAAGCCTAACGAATACTGAATAGCTTTAGCTTAGTGAAAATATTTATATGGCTTATTTAGCTTGATTTATCTTATTTTTTCCCTCCCACTATTTCATTAGACAAGAATAACCTAAGACTAAGAGTTGGTGGTGTTGGCTAGGTACACTCTCTAGGCTATCAGTTTCAAATTAAAGTACAACCAACGTAGCTACTGGTCCTTGAATATTGAAAAAACAAATAATATTAGAGTGTATGTCAATACACTACCAAACTAAGGCATTAAAACTGTTATAAAGTATCTGTTAAAACACTATTTTTAACATATATCCATGAAGAAGACAACCAGGGGCTCGTGTCGGGTCATTTGTATTAAAAATGGCGTCTTAATTTATGTTTTATATTGTTTTCGTGCCTTGGTTTCCATAATATTAAAATTTACAGAACACGGACTTCCATGGAATAAGAACGGTATTACCACGATGTTCAAACGATTCCATAAAATATATACGTCACCACAGCCACTTTCAGTTTGAGAATTAGTGTAATAACTGGAAACGTAGAATTCAACTTCCAACTTAAGCTACTGTTTGATGCTAGATCAAGAAACCGTTTTAAAGATCACTTGAGTAACAGAACACAACCTTTCTCGGTACTTACCCTTAACAAAATATAGTTCAGCGAGAAAAAATATTAACGAAGTTATTGATATAATATAGGTTTTCATTTCTTACTAGAGGATTGGATTTCTTCATTTAATTCAAAACACAAACCTGCACATTGGTTCCCGAAGGTGCAAGTTCAAACATGTTGTTTCATGTCTACAGTGGAAAATTAGCCATATATTTATAACAGAAGAAAAACATCTTTTTTACTGTTTTGGATGAAGATTAAAATGATTTCTCAGTCTTCTCCTTCATTACTGTCGTACAAAGTGGACAGTTTTTTTTTTCTGTATGTGTAATGTTTCTTCATGGCCATTCCTAATCATGATCACAGTGTGACTGGTGGGTTGACAAATCCAAGAAAATAAAACTGGTGCGAGATTGCCTAACTAATATTATTTTTTACAGCACTATAAAGCAGATAGAACTCTTGTTAAGTTAGAGATGAGCGAGGGAGCGGGAAGGTTGCTGCTTAACCAAATCTTCTAGATATTGTATAAAGCTTTTTTTTATTACATAAACGTTAGTTGTAACTAGTTGATCCTAATATGATGTCCAGGCAAAACGTAACTGCCAACTATCACAAGCTGTTTACGTTTTGTTTGTTTGTTTAACAAGGCCCAGTTTTTATGTAAAACATCAAGGTAAAAAATGCGAAAAGTCGTTATTTTAGAAAACTAAAGATTGCATGATAAAAGTCGCCCTCTTATCACTCCCATTTTTTGTTTTATGATATCTTAATTTTATTTAACTATAAAAATCAGATTCGGTCTGTATTTTTTTTCCTATATCATATTGTCCCAATGACATACACGACCGTCGAAAAAGCTGCGTTTTTCAATAGGTTATGATAATGTCTCGAGATTGTAAATGAACAAACGCTCCAGTTTCACAGGTAGGCTTATTTTTTGTTTAGAATAAGAATGTAAGAAATTACAGTTACCAAATATTAAAACATTTGTTTCAAACACTTATTTATTACGTATATCCAACAAAAAAATAACTATATTTAGCCATCTAAGAATTTTATGAAAATCTACGTAATATTTTCTGAATGTTAATTTTATTATCAATCAGTATTGGTTATAATGTTTATTTGGCATTATGTATTAATACGTGTTAGATATTGGAAGTGATTATGAAGAGACTGGTTATAAAGTGTAAATATTACGGGTTCATTCCTGCTCTACTCCATTACAGTCAACTACTCCAGAGCACAATCACGTGATTATAGTTTACGATGTGATTAATTATCATCCAAAGAATTAGAAGTGCCACATCAGTACAATGTTTATAAAAGTAGAAGTAGTCATACTATTCCCAGCAGTAGTATGGTAAACAGAGTACCGTTAAATAATAGAAGCGGTCGAGGTAGGAACCCAAATTATTCAACAATGATATTGAATAACACAGACAGGGTGTACTCTTTACGCGATACATCGCAATCCAGTTGAAATGTTCCCAGTGACTTAACTATAAGTACAGTTGTGAATGTTACCCCCAGAATAGTAATATTTTTTATCATAAGGGTTAACAACGGTATATTAAACTAGCTTATTCATTACTTGATTAATTTTTAAAACAACAAAGATGATTTTTTTTTCGTTCTTTTGGGGAGCAGGGTATTGTAAAGGACGAACCCAGATAGCAGGGTATTGTAAACGACGAGCCCAGATTTTGCGATCTAGAAAAGCGATTTTCTCTTTTTTTTCTGCCCAATTTCCAGAATATTTGAATATAGTATTGGTATTCTTTGTTTTACAAGTTTGTATGTTTTAACTTTTATCTTTCCTGGTTTCATCCACTTTTAGACTGTACTTTAGGGTAAAAACTGTTTCGTGTATGCCACGTACTGAGGACATAGGAAGTAATCCAGGGTAAAAAACTTGGCAACTTCAATATTCGAAAGCACCAAATAGTGAATTCGCCCAAAATACATTTCTTTTTCACTTTTTATGTGCCCGGCATGGCCAGGTGGTTAGGGCGCTCGACTCGCAATCCCCGTCACACCAAACATGCTCACCCTTTCAACCGTTATGATGTGACGGTGAATCTCACAATTCGTTGGTAAAAGAGTTGGCGGTGATGACTAGCTGCCTTCCCTCTAGTCTTTTGCCTCTTTTTAATAGCTGTAATATCGATTTCAGTTTGTCGTTATCTAAGTAATTCGATTACATTACTTTGGCCATTGACTTCACAGCAAGTTACTTGTACGTTTGTTTGAAAGTACAAAATCTTTCCATTTATATGTGAAAAGCTTTGAGCACAGTGTTCTTTAACACTGACATATCTAGGTGACCAAACACTTGCGGTAATTCCTTGATTTGAATAATAATGATAAACAAACAACTTTAACTCCATGCTGGGCCGGGCGTAGCCAAATAATTAGCTTCCAGGCCGTGGATACGAGGGTCCATTGTTTGTATCTCTTTGTCACATAACCCTACTCCACTTTGGGGCTGTGATAAAATTGACGGTCGAATCCCACTATTTGATTAGAGTTGGCGGTGGGTGTTATTGACTAGCTGCCTTCTTTCTACTCTGTTCAAAATTAGGGTCTGCTACCTCGGGTTATTCTCAACAAACTAGCAATTCCATGTTTGTTTGTTTGTTTGTTCTCTCTCTCGGCGACATCCCTACTTCGTTTGTTTCTCTCTCTCTCGGCGATATTCATGCTCCGTAAACAAGTATTATTAATTGAGCTGGAAGATTTGGTAACCATTAGCAACAAACAGTACTCTGGACAACCAAACATGTTACAGTACACCATTTTGTCTGCATCAGTTTCAGCCTGTAAGGTTTGGCGGTGTTTTATCATATAGACAAGTGCGTTTCAATGTACAGGATTTTTCATCAGTACTCTTTACCCGTAGCTCTATTTGTTAACGTGATGAATCCAGCTGGCGCTATACAGTAGCGTGACGACACAGCGGAATAATACTAGACAGACTTCACGTTGGTAGTTATAAATTTTTAGTAGTTGTTGGTCAAAATCTGAACGTTATCCTAAAGAGTTTCTTTTTTTTTTATCAATCATTATCCATGAACGATTTAACGATACTTTATCAAATATTTGTTTCTAATAAAATAAATAAAAAAAATCAAAGGAATTGTATCAAGTGTATTGACGGAAAACTTTTATCTTGTAAAATGCAAGCACTTGTTAACCCTAGTGTCTGTAGGAAAAGCAGAAACATATCTAAGAGGTAGCTCATTTTCAGCGTGTGACGTGATAAAGTATCTTGATATCATCTTACTTCCAGGTGACTCGAGGTCGTAGTGCACCCCCTCTTGAGACACCGGAAGAGGGTGGCGAATGTACCAAGTACTAAGGTATCGTACTTTTATTTTCAGCGTTGTTTCAGCCTACCATCTTGCCTGGTTTCTCTGTTCTGTTCACTTCTTGCACTGGCTACAGTGGCGCCATCTAACCTTTCATTCTACGATCCCTACACGTTTGCATGCTATGCACATGCACTCAAACTCTGTACTCTCTCTTATGGTCAACACTCTCTTCTTGCTGTCTTATCTCTAATAAGCCTGGTTACAGCCAAAGGTTTTTCTTTCATTAAAATTGAGGGCATGAAGAAGTCTTAAACTATGTAACTTGCATGAATGAACAGTTTTTTTCGTAGTGTGTAACATTTACCATACGTCATATATTAATGGTTCCAAAGTGCACAATACAACATGATACTAAGGATAGTTAACTATATTTAAAGTGACTAAACAACTTATTGTTCAAGAATAGTGTGTTTTATTTCAGAATAATGATGTTTTCATTTACTGAGGCTCATCCGGAACTAAACTACTCAGTTAATTCATAGATGAATTCCACTGTTAAAAATTATTATTTCTGTGTTTACTGATAAATACTATTTAAATATAAAAATAGCTATCCTTGGTTAAAGAAACACTTCTCCGTGCATTTGCTTGATATTTTACTAATCACTAACAAAATCTCTAGTTTTGATGACTTTGTTTCAGGGTTTTACTTTTGGCCTTTTACTTCTGACATTATATTATTAATAAAATCAAACAATTCTTAAGTGGAAACACATCTTCTCCCG